AATCTAATTAATGTGTGGATGTGTAGACATATTTCAATCAAATTTATACTCGACTTATTCAAGACAAATATATATTAAACAAATTGTCTAAAATATTCTTAATCATATTGATTTTCGGCATTGAATTAACAAATATAACTAAATTAATTGATCAATATTATTTTAAAAATCTTGATTTATATTTCTGTAAATTAAAATAATGATTATTATTCATAGAAGACGTACAACAAGTAAGAATAGAATTTTTCTGTTTCTTTATTGTTGATATTTTTATTATCTATGTTATTGAATAAATAATTATTATTTCGAATATATTTTTTATTTAGGAAAACAAAAATAGATTGAGTAACATTCATTTTATTTAAATTCGAAATTTATACTACGTCATTTTCAATATATACGCTTTTTATTCTGTTCGTTTCTGTTAATTATTTAATTTTCTTGTATTGTATTCCACATCTACACCCACATACCCCTTATCTACATCGTAAACTTATCCAATAAGAATAATTATTGTTATTATTCATTGATAAATAAGATAGATGGTGATGGCCAGCTAACGGTCACCCTCACATTCGAAGGTTTGAAATTACAAAAGTGAAAGAAAACTGTCTCTGCAATCGAAAGTACACTATTGACGGATTAACAAACACATTGCAAGCTATGAGATACATTAGTTATGAGTGATATAATTCTCATTTTTTTTTCATTATATATATAAAAAATAAATTTATTGACTAATTTCAAAATAAAGTATGATTTTGAATCGTGTTAAATTACGTTTTTTGTCGAGATGATGATCAGCAATTTTAATGTGCATTTATTGTGAGAATAAAACTTGATTACTTGAACGATAGGACTATTTTTGTGCTACTCGTAAATTAGGAAAAAGATATATTTTTATTATGGTAATTTAAAAATTTCAGGTCCTCAAACCTTCGACTTTGAAACAAGAAATTCCGTAACGATTGAAATTCCGTAACGAACAGTATGTTTAGCTTTTTTATTCTATGCAGTTATAGTTGTTAGCATATAACGTGATATTATGATAGCTTGTGAAGAACTGAATAACTTGTACGTAAAACAGTTATGTATATGTCACTTCGAGTCATAGTAAAATGCTCAACTCTCGCATCACCCTCAAAAAAGATTCCATTTTTTGAAATTCCGTAACGGTCACTATTCTTGGAACAACTTAGCTCTGGCTAAGGAAAAAGCCGATGAAATTTTTACTAGTAATAGAACTTAATAGTCTCTGTCTATGATAAGAACTTCAAAGAGTTATCTTTTACTACTGAGAAGATATAGGTATTACAATGTAAAAAAATGAAATTCCGTAACATTTGGCCATACCCAGATACGCATATTCGACAATTATTGTCGAAGTTTGACTAGAATTTAAAAATATTTCGAAATTCTAGTTAATCAAATTATATTCATTTATCATTATCGTCTATTTCGACAAATGATTCTATTGAAAAGTTTAAAAAATGAATTAATCAAATATTTATTTAATTCACATATATTGTTAGTCACTTTAATAAACATTTTGAGAATATTTCTTAAGAATATTCACTATTGATCTTCAAAACAAACTTATCTTGAATATTTTACTGAAAAACCAAAGTGAACATATTCGTTAGAATAAAAATATCTAAAGAAATCAAAATTATTTTGTTTCCTCGTTATTTTTCCGTTTAATTAAATGTTCTTAATAGATTATATCTTAGATTGTCAGATTGACTTTTCAATATACACTATATTCATTAAATTAATAACCAAAATAAATATTTATTAAACGATAAAAATAAAAACTTTATATTAATAGAATATTTTAATGGATTTTAACAAACTGTCAATCTATATATTTATCGATTCACTGTTATTTTTTGTTTTCATCATTTATTTAAATATATTTTATGTTAACTATCTTTGATTTATAATTAACAGAATATTCTTTAAAAGTTTTGATAAAATAACACAAATAGACCAGTTGAGAAGCTTTGATAATAATCACAGACGAAAATCAATAAGAAATAAATGTGGAAACTTCGGATTTAAATCTGAGAGTTATGTGTACTTCAAAAAGTGAATGAGACAGATTAGTCATCTTAGAATGTGTGGACATTAAAATTATCCTGGTAAACCTTGCCTATAAACACTTGATTTCTATTGGTTATTGCTCAGCTAATGAGGTTTCCAGGCGAATGGAGCACAGATTCGAGTTCTCCACCACAGAAAACCTCGAACTATCATCTCTGTGATTGGAAGATAGAGGTCTAATTGCAGATCACATAGAGCGTGGATGAAAACAAAACCGAATTCTGTTTAATTATCTTTGCAAAAGGTGAGTTAGCTTTCTTGTTTCTTTATGTTTTATATACCACTTTGTAGCTCATGAAATTCTCTATCGAATGGTATATAATAGTTGGGGCTTTATCTGACTATAATAGGAAAAGTTTTTTTATGAAAACAGAGAAGGGTCTATCTTCTCATAGGGAAAAATGACTATTTTTGAAATAACTCAGCAATGGCTCGGTCAATGATTCTCATCTTCGAATTCGACCGAGATATTGTTGAGACTAAACTGTGTAGAAAATTCCATCGCGGTCTGACTCTCCTTTCGAAAGTTATCGTGTAAACGGACACACTGACCAATTCTATAGTGTACTCACTTTTTGAGTACACAAAGAATGATCGATTAACTTCGTATAGTTATCGAGAAATCAAAGAAAAGAAATTAAAAATCTGTCGGGACATTTAGTGAAACAATAGCCACTTGTTCGTTTTATTTTTTGTTTTTTACTCGATTTCGAAGTTCATTAGGAAAAAAGTTTTTTATAGAAATATTTCTCACTCTTTAGTCTACAAATGTAAACAAAGAATTCCGCGATTTGTTTTCAATTGACCTCAGTAGATCAAATTTAATCTGTCGGGACATAACATAGTCAAAGTGTATGTCAAAGTAATTATTGCAAGGTTTTAGAGACAATTCAATACCAAATTTATGATCCTTCAGTATGATTAGAAAGTAGAAATTATTAGCTGAAAAACAGCTCTCGAAGGTTATTTATTCAATCAAAAATATAATCTTTTTGATCTGATGGCTTTAGAAATCATAAATTTTGACCTTTCTTGTTTGATACTCGGAAGGTAGGGAAGGGGGAAAAGGCTCAACATTTTCACTGTAGGTAGGACTTTAGTCTATGATTATGTAAAAAAAAAATCGTTGAAAGTCATTCAGTAGAAGATGAGTTATAAGCATTTTTATTTTAGGAATGCAAACAGTACAATGGCAGCGTAAATCACCCATATATATACATATAAGCAAAAGGACGTCAATATTTAATTTGGGAATTTTTTCAGATAACTACTTCGGGTATACCAAAATTAGTGAGCCTGATATCCTATTTTCTTATAGATCGCTTGAAAAAATTTTCTTTTTTTATGAACAGATAGAGCGTCTTTCGCTCTATCGTTTCCATGCTATTTGGTCACTATTCAATTGATCCTATAATAATAAAATTTCGACAAGAACTGATTTTTCTTGCAAACTGACTGGTACCATTTGGATCATAATGAATATGGCATAAAAAATGGGATATTTTTGCATTTCATTTTATTATCATTTAATAGATTGTATTAAAAAAAAACAAAATACTACAAGCACAAGATGCAGCGTGAAAAGCTCTAAAATTTATAAAGGACCGCTTATTTTATAGTTGCACTTTTTATTTTCAAAATCGACAAAACTCTAACCGGCCAAATTTTGACGTTGCGAAAACGATATTGTTTTTTGATAAAAGATGAATTCGTTTTTTTTTTCTATTACATCTTTTTATAATTGTTCTTTGTAAATTGTAGAGCTTTTCACGTTGCATCTTGTGCTTGTATATTTTGTTTTCTTAATACAACCTATTAGGTGATAATAAAATGAAATCTGTTAGTCTTAACATAACCAATGATAAATAAATGTATCATTTAACGAAATATCAAAGTTGAATGTATGTATCTATGCGAATTGTATCGTTTATGCATTAGTATTTTTTATAAATATTGAATTGATAAATTAATAATAAAAAATGTATTAATCGTTCATATTACTCTTGATAGTATTTAAAGAGAGTTCTTAATGAATAATATTTTGTTTTCAATATCGAGTCGAAATTTTTATTTTAAAGGCCTGAAAACGTCTTTTCAAGTTTTCATTTAAACACCATCTATTTTCCGTTCAGTCACAAATGTGGAGCAATTAAAATGATGAATATGTAATAAATATCGAAAAAAAAAAATATATAGAAAGATTAAGTTATGAGCTGAGGAGTGTAGTAATATATATATTTTTTTTTTATAAATCTGAAATTTTTTCATAAGAAACAGTTATTTTTCTGAGAATCACCGTCAAATTCTAAGTAAATGACCAATATAAATAAACAAAAAAAAATTTGTTTTTTTTCTGAAATCTCACATCTGTTTTACTGTGAAAATATATTCTTCATACATTTACAGTTCAATCATAACATAAACAAACAATTGAAAGACAAATATCTATTGAAAAAAAATGCTTCAATACATATTTGTAATTACTAGCGACATATTTATCATCAAATTAATATGTTAGACAAAACTTGTACATTTTATTTTCTAGAAAAATTTATTTATAGTGTTTATATGACAACTTTTTTTCTTATGTAATTGTAACAAATAAATGTTACTATTTGATAGCATATTATGTTTTTTTCTTTGTATATTAGTTATTTTTTTGTCTTTTCTCTATTTTCGATATTCTAATGTTTTGAATTTCATACATTCAATGAATTACGAGATTGACATTATCAACGAACTATTTTACTGTAGAAAAATTACATTAGTTAATGATCGTTCATGGATAGAATTAAACGAAAATTAACTTTGTATACAGTTGATACTTGGAATGATATTCTTATTCTTACATCTTATACATCTAATCTTCGTCGTTTGATAACACCGTGTGGTATGGATCGTGATATTGAAGATATTGAAACGTTATTACCATTACAATTATCAACATTGACTTACCTACGAACATGTTTCAATTATTTAAATTTTCATCAATTTGAAATGTTTATTAAAAAAATAAATTCACCATTGAAAATTTTACATGTTGAAGATGTAAATTTTCGTAATAGTGATTGTTGGGAAAATTTAATTTTAACATCTTTATCTCATCTAGAAAAATAATATTTAATATATAAAGAAAGATTTTCTCCTTCTGATTATCTAATATATTCTGGTAAATTAAATCCATTCAGTTCATCATTTTGGATTGATCGACGATGGTTTTTTGAAGTTGAAATTGATATTAATTTTGTTAATTACATTGTTCGTCCATATAAGTATGTTGAAATTTGATTTTCATATATAAGTTCATTTTTACTTTTCGATTTTGAAATTAAAAATAAAAATATTGATTATCATTACTCAACTTTTAATTAACTATATTAATAAGAAGATCAAGAAGAAAATATTTTCAAATAAGAATTATCTAAAAAAAAAAACTAAACTGTATTAGTAACAATTTTCGAAGTAACATGAATACAATCAATTTATCTTTAACCTTTTAGAAATATTTATTAATTCTTTAAAGATGTAAAAAATGAAGTTTTACATTCTTCCATTGAATATTCAAAATTGATTAAATTAACTATTAATGATATCAATGATGATCATTTTTATTCAACATCATTTATTCTTAACCATATTTTAACAATAACAAATATTTATCATTTAGAAATCAAAAGATTTATAAATATTCCATTATTCATTCAACTTCTCAATACTTTAACAGATGTTGAGACGTTGAAAATATATTCCTTAATATGTGATAACAGAAAAATGGATTATAAAAAGTTTTCAGTGACAAGTTCAATAAAGAAAAGAAGTAAAATAAAAAATGTAAAGAATATTGATGACATATTTTTACTTATGACATTGTGTCCTTATATAACTTATCTCAATATAGATAATATGAATGTTAATGTTGAATCGATTGTAAATGATTTCATCAAGAGAAGTTGCAATAATCCAACAAATTTAGTTCGTTTGATTTGTTTTCGTATTCCAGCAGCAGATTATGGAACTATTGAAAAATTAAAAAGAACAATAATTACTAATGGAATCACTTGCGATTATATTATCAAACGTATAGTTGATCGTGTTTATATAGAATGGAAATTAGAATCAACTATTCATTCTTCATAAAACAAATATATTTTTTTTTTGTTCAATAAAATAAATGGTTATTGATTGTCAAAGCCAGAGGTTTAATGTTTGCAAATTTCTTTGCTTTATGTAATAATAACTAATGTAAGATATAGAAATGATTATAACAGATCATAATTCAAGAATTACAATAAAAAATATTTATGTTGTCGAAATGCATTTGATTTACCGAAATATGAAATAAATATCATCATGCCATTACTTGAAATTGCCCATTAATAGTGATATTAAAAGGTCATGTTTTCTATAGAAATTTAATTTCAAGTTTGTTCCACACATGATGCAAGACGGGGAGTGGGTGTGAATGAATCACAAATGATGTGGACGCAGGGGGTTTTTATGTGGCTGTTCGAAGAAAAACAAAATACAGATGCAGCCATGCTCACACTCAAAATTTCTATATAAACGATGCGCTATGATGGACAATTAATTTAGTTTCCCTAAGTTAAAATGGAAGGGTGTGGGTGTGTAGATGTCTGTTCTTGAACAATTACCCACACCAACGATATGTTCAACCCTCTGCAATCGAATTCATTTCCTCTAATCAAGAGACACATCCGACAGATTTTATAGACATGAAGAAAAATAAATCGAAGATTGTGTGAAACTCAAAAAAAGAATTGCAACGATCGCAATCTCTACTTCAAGAGAGATGTATCGACGGCGAAGTCAGAACGACTTCTTGATGCACTCACAAGCTCTTTCTCCAGAGAGACCTAGAATAGAGATAGTTCATTGTATTGATAAAAATAAAGAAAACCATTCACATGTGGACGGATCAATTGAGTGGATAGAAGAAGATTACTAATTGCTCAAATTCAAATCAGGTTTCAGTGAATGTCGCAACGCGTCTGTCTCATCTATTGCACATGTGCGTTTTGTATTCGATATAATATGAGGAATGACTGGCTCTAGTCTAATTCGTATATTTGTATTTGTCTCCTTGAATTTTACTGGGAGGAGAAGGATGGCATTATGTGTTAATGAATAGTACCCTCGTTAACAATGCAATTAGATCTTTATCTATCAACACCACCTTTTTTTCTTTTATCCAACTAGTACGTATATTATTAGGAATGATATATCAAAACGTACGACATTAATAGACTCGTAATCTTTTCGAATGCAATTATTTCATGATTAAAATTCTATGTCAATACAATGTTTCAACAAATGTCTTTTGATGTTTAGGATTATTTATCAATAAAAGTGAATGAGACAGATTAGTCACCCTAGAATGTGTGGATATCAAAATTGTCCTGGCAAACCCTTTCTGTAAACACTTAATTTCTATTGGCTATTGCTCAGCCAATACGATTTAGAGGCAAATACAGCTCAGATTTGAACTCTTCACCTTGATTTACCCTAAGAAACTCGTTTTTCCTATAACTTGATTTCTATTGGTCACTGCTCAACCAATGGGATTTCGAGGCGAATCGTACATAGATTCGAGTTCTCCATTCTAGAAAACCTCAAACTATCATCTGCGTGATGGGAAGATAGAGCTCGAATTGTGGATCATATAGAGCATGGACAAAAACAGAACCGAATTCCGATTAATTATCTTTGCAATAGGCGAGTTAGCTTTCTTGTTTCTTTATGTTTTATATACCATTTTGTAGCTCGTGAAATTCTCTATCGAATGGTATATAATAGTTGGGGGTTTATCTGACTATGATAGGAAAAGTTTTTTTATGAAAGCAGAGAAGGGTCGATCTTCTCATAGGGAAAAATGACTATTTTTGCAATAACTCAGCAATGGCTCGGCCAATCATTCTCATCTTCGAACTCGACCGAGATATTGTTAAGACTAAACTATGTAGAAAATTTCATCGCGATCGGACTCTCCATTCAAAAGTTATCGTGTTAACGGCCGGACATACTGACCGATTGTAGAGTGTACTCACTTTTTGAGTACACAAAAATTCATCTTGATTCGATTCGATTTCAATAAAACTATTAGAAATAAATTCTATTATTATTTTCATATATATGTTAATTACTGATTAATCTACTGATTTTTATTTATTAGCTTGTTAATAGTGACCTTTTCTATATATTTCATCTATTCATATTTATTTATATATATATATAAATATAATTATATTATTGATCAAAGTTCAATATTAACAATGATAAAATTGAAATTTTATCAAATGAATACATCTTTGAAAAATGAACTAAACAATATTGATCATTAAAATATATTAGTTAAAAAATTTTATTAAAAACATTCATCAATATTGATATTATTGAAAAGACAGATTATTATTCTAATATATTGTTTTTTTCTTGAATATTAAAAATAATTAATTATTAAGCACTATTGAAAATCTCAACCTCAGAAAAGTTTTGATTAATCTAAAAACTAAAACAAATAGTATAAATATATCATACCAGTTTATACTGTTTAAAATATTGAACAATTAAAATAAAAATAAATCCAATCTAATTAACATTTATCAAAGTTTTACTCTCAATCATTTATGTTAACAAATTTATTTCGACTAATTATTCTCAAGTATTTCTCCTGATTTATTTTCTTGTCTATTGTTTTT